TCGCGCAGACGAAAATTAAAACCTAATTCACTTTTACGCGACAATGCTGACGAACGATCGAATTTCGTCAGCAAGTTAGATCGTTAAAACTGCAATCAAGTGCAGTTTCACGTATATAAAATCGCCGTCGCGAGATCACGACGGCGGGTCTAAAACTATCATTCACAAGAAACGGACGTATGTCCGTTGGGACCACAAATCTAGAAGAACGCGAATTATAACAATTCGCTAAAAGCGAATAAGAATAACTTGGGGCTCCGTGATACTACACTAAGGCAAGGATTCCTGACGGAACCTAGATTACATAGAAGTAAGGGAACTTGTAATAAATCAAGAAATCAATAAATATATGGGAGATTGTTTTTTTATTAAGAAGAACAAAAAAGGATTATTCCCGGATTCCCGGCCTAACTCCTCGGCAGATCCCGAACCCGTGCCCTATCACCAAGGGCACAACAACACATATACACAATTTAAAGAAGCACATACATAAAAATACATATATATGTTTTACAATTAAATAATACTAATTTTCTACAAACTAAAATAAAATTATAAAACGAAATGTGTGCGTGTGAACATATAACCTAATATGTGTATAAATGCTGTCAACACTAAGAATTGTATGGCGCCTCTATGCCAAAATCCGGAAACTAATCTGCTGCTCTTTTTAACCTTATTATCGTCTATATTGCTCGCATCCTTTGCATAATCGTAATTCGCGACGCATTTTAAAATTACATCTCTGAACTCAATTTGAAAGGTTTCCTGTTAATCTTTGATATACTCTTTTTCGGCAAGCACACTCGTTTTGCATGTACAAACTGTATAATTTTTATAAAAAATAAATATTTATATGCATCGACAGCTTGTCGGTAAAATTTCCAAATTTTTTTCTTTTTTTCGTTTTAAAACTAGTGCTTGCCGATGTATTAGAGTATGTACTTTAACCATATAAGAGGATTTGTAATTCTATTGAAGCAATAAAAAATGCCATGTTAATTACAAAATTGAAACTCGATCGGTAAGAAAGTGTAAATTCAGCATCCTCTTAAAGAGATCGAGAACCTCGATCTCGAAATCTCTCCCCATAAGACTGAAGCTATGGCCTTCCCGGCCTCTGCAGTTGGGCATGGTTCCTATAAGTTAGTAATGAAAAATAGGGAGATTCCCATTGCCCCGTCTATGAAATAACTTGGTGTCTTTCTGGACGGGGAGTGGAGGTTTACTTATTATTTTAAAAGATTGTTTCTGAAAGTAAACAAAACTGTTGGTTATTTAAGGGGAATCATGCCCAACTGTAGGGGTCCTAATAAAAAGAGAAAAAAACTATATTTGAATGTTGTTCTTTCCATGATTTTATATGGGGCCCCCATTTGGTCGGAATCATTTAGACAAAATCGAAGGGCTAAGACCTTAATAACAAAACTTATGAGAAGAATTACTCAGAGGGTCTGTTGTGCATACCGTACGATTTCTTTTGCTGCGGCATCAGTCCTGTCTGGAACCCTTCCAATAGAATTTCAAGTGCAGAAAATGACGTCCATATACTATAGTATTAAGGCAGCTAAAAATGAGGGTGAGGAGATTTCCCCCGGTTTCAGGGTGAAGTTATACCTTGATGCGAAAGATCAGGCCCTGTTGGATTGGAAGGCGTGCCTTCTGGAATTGCGCGACAACCAGCCTGGTTTTAGGATACGTAATGCATTGGTTAGTAGGTTAAGAGAGTGGTCCAACAGAAAACACGGTTGGATCACGTATCATATGACCCAGTTTCTTACGGGACATGGGTGTTTTAATAAATTTCTTTACAGAATAAATAAAGTGGAGTCTGCGTTGTGCGCCCACTGTTTGGTCGAGGTTGATACTGCCCAGCACACCTTCCAATTCTGTAGTGCCTGGTATTCTGAAAGATGCGGTTTGGTTCGGGTTATAAGGGATGAGCTTGATCTCCCGTCGGTTATTTTGGCAATTTTGGATAGCATAATTAATTGGAAAGCCTTCTCAACCTTCTGCACTAAGGTTCTTAGCCGCAAAAAGGCGGCAGAAAGGGAGAGACAGGCCGTGGATAGGAGTCAGGTGGTTGGTTACCTGGACTCAGAAACCTCTGATTAAGATTAGTTTATTATTATTGTTCTTAGATATTATATTATAATTATTCATTATTAATTGACTTTTCTGTATTTAAATTATATAGATTAGATAGTTTAGCTTTCAACTAGACTATTACTTTGTATACGGCCAACTCGGATATAATTGTGATTGTGCTGGCGTTGCGTCACTCTGGTCCCTATCTAATCATAGGTAGTATAAGTAGTAACTATGTTCTTTTGTAAGTTGCGTGGTCTATCCAGGTTTCTGTAGTTCCCGTTATTTCTGATAGAGCCTTTCGTAGGCATTCCTGAGGGAAAGGCAGAGATATGCTCTAGTTAGTAAGCCTGCCTCTCTCATGCCGGGGCCTGTAGGGCTTGAGGTGAGTTTTTAGCTGGTAGGCGGTCGAGATGCGCTATCGGATCTGGCTTGGCTGATGAATGTGCTTCTCTCTTGTCTCCGGATATCTGACATTCCCCCCTGCCCGCATGGGATGCCTGTCTGATCCTGGTTAGGCTTGGGAAGCAATCCTTATCCGGTCATGCTGGGGGATGTCCTGATGCAAGTTTCGGTCAAATCCAGCACTACCCTTGTAACAATGCAGCATGCATCGTCACGGCTACGGACCGAACATCGTCCGTAGCCAAAAAGAGCGCATCGAGCGCCGATAAAAGAATCATAAACACCAACGGTCAATCGCCGGACGGTCCCCCACACCCGACCGTTTCGAAAATTACCAGGTGGGGGTCCGCCGGCTAAACCGCCGATGCTTGCCGATCCTTCGCCAGTCGGGCGACAGCCGGGTATAAAAGAGGCCCGGCTGTACGCCTTCTTACCAGATCCTGTTCACTGCTCGCCAGTGAACATCCTATTGCGAGAGCACTCGTAATCCTTCGAGAATACTCGAAGTCTATGACCAGTAGCCCCACGAGCACGAGCATACTCGTGCACCGACCGAGCATACTCGGCTCCAGGAACCGCTTCCACATGTTACGGGAACACCCGTATCCCCGCAGAGCATACTCGGCTCTAGATCTCGATACGAGAATACTCGTATTCCTGCCAAATATACTCGGCCACCAGGAACCGTTCTCCGTTCCTCCGTGCGAGCATACTCGCACGTTACTGAGAGTACTCGGCCTCGATCCTCGCATACAAGCGTACTCGTATAATAACCGAGCATACTCGGTTTTGTTTCCTAAATACAAGCATACTCGTATATTACCGAGCACACTCGGCTTCATTTCTTATATACGGGCATACCCGTATACTGCCGGGAATACTCGGCTCTACGTCCGATCACCGGTCATTGCAGGGCGCGGGCAATACGCGCGTCCTCGCTCCCGTCTTCGTCCCTTCAAATCGGGTCCTTATATCCGGCAGGCAATCGCGAACAATCGAATCGACAGCGATCATCAAGTCACCGCGCACGCGCCCGAGCTATCGATCAGTCAATCGATCATCGCCGCCGCTCGAACGTATCGATCTACGCGCTCGCAGTCGTCTAGAGACAACTGCGGTGCCCGCGTTTGCGCTGACGCTTTCTCGTCACTGTACGACCGCCGTTACACATCATTCGCACCACCGCTATTATTATTTATAATACGCGTTCGAACAAACATACTAAACGTTCCGTATCCACACGGCTGTATATATTTAATTTTAGCATCACAAAATAAACATTATTTTATTTTATTACACCGAGCATTCTTTTACGTGCCCCCAACCGACCGAACTCCTGACTCCGGTGATTTATTCCGCGTATACAAACGTACCGTTTTACCCTGGTACGGGCCAGGGTGTCTTTAGATTTTCTCATCTCTAAAAAAAAAAAAAAAAAAAAAATATAGTAAAGTACGCATAGAAAGAATGCACAACAGAGACTTCTCTCTGTGTATGACACTATGGCTAGGCATAGAGTAGATAATACATAGATGCTCCGTGCGACGCGATCGGGCGCATGGTCACCGGTCTTTGCGACGCGGCCATGCCCCGATCAAGGCCCGCCCCTCGTCGGGTGGCATACTGGTGGAGCGAGGTGATCGCGGAGCTGCGCAGTAACTCCAACGCGGCTCGCCGCGTTCTCCTCAGGGCCCGACGAAGGGCGGGTGGAAAGGACGGAAGCACTCGGATGGCCGAGGGCAAGTATCTAGCCGCAAGACGCTTGCTCCAGTCGGCCATCCGAAGAGCCAAGGCCAAGGTCTGGGAGGAGTCTTTGGCGGAACTGAACCGGGATCCCTGGGGGCGCCCATACCGTATAGTTCTGAATAGACTCAGGCCGGCGGCGCCCCCAATCTCGGAGAAGCTCGAGCCCGAGTTTCTCGGCCAAGTGGTGGAGGCCCTCTTCCCAGTTAGGGAATCTAACATTCCCGGGAGGAGGGACCCTCCCCCTTGGGACGAGTCAAACGAGATCTCGGGCAGAGAGCTCTTCAACGCAGCCAAAAGACTGGGGGCCAAAGGCAAAGCCCCCGGTCCGGATGGGATTCCCGGCCAAGTATGGGCCTTGGTCTTGGGAGAAGTGGGTGCCCGCCTGAGGAACTTGTATAATACATGCTTCAAGACGGGCACCTTCCCCTCGGCGTGGAAGAAGGCCAACCTGGTCCTTTTCCACAAAGAGGGGAAACCGGCGAAGCAACCCTCGGCCTACAGGCCGATATGCCTGTTGGACGAGGTCAGCAAGTTATTCGAGAGGATAATTGCTGGCCGAATCGTCCAACATCTGTCGCGGAAGGGTCCCAACCTTAGCGAGGGCCAGTTTGGTTTCCGGGAGGGTCGATCAACCACAGATGCAATTATGCATCTCAAGACCCTCTTGGACCAAACTGTTGGGGAGGGCGACGTGGCGTTGGCGGTGTCGTTAGACATCGTCAACGCCTTTAATTCCCTCCCCTGGGAACACGTGGGGGCGGCCATGGACTATCATGGTCTCCCCCAATACATCAAGGAGGTGGTTTGAGATTATTTCCGTGACAGGACGCTCCAGCATAAGGATCAGCTGGAGCGGATAGGCAGTAGGCCTCTCTACTGCGGGGTTCCACAGGGATCAGTCTTGGGTTCCTTACTGTGGAACCTCGCTTATGATAGGGTGCTCCGCACGGCGCTCCCCCTGGGCTGTCGTCTGCTGTGTTACGCAGACGACACTCTGGTGGTAGCCCGGGGGGAGAACTGGAGGGAAGCCCGGGACGTCGCCAATGAAGCGACCCGGGCTGTTGTGTGCTCCATAAGAGCCATGGGGCTCGAGGTCGCCCTGCATAAGACGGAAGCCTTGTACTTCCATAGCAGGGCTGCGGGACGGCCTCCCCCTACCGAAATATGGGTAGGGAAAGTCCGAGTTCCGGTGGAGACCCGGATGAAGTATCTGGGCCTCACCTTGGATGGGCTATAAGGATTCGAGCAACACTTTGCTCAAATCATCCCCAGAGCGGACAGGATGGCGGCCGCGCTAGGCCGTCTCCTGCCTAACGTGGGTGGGCCAAACTCTAAGGTTCGGCGACTGTACGCCAATGTCGTGCAGTCAGTGTCCATGTATGGGGCACCGATATGGGCCGGAGCAGTCGCGGCCAGTCGGAGCATCAAGGCGAAAATTCATCGCCTGCAGCAACGGCTGGCCGTGAGGATTATCCGGTCCTACTGCACGACATCGTTCGTGGCGGCCACGGCCCTGGCGGGCGTTCTCCCGGCGGAGATCCTAGCAAACTCGTACGCCGAAGTATATCGGCGTACGAGGGACCCAGACCGTCCGGGAAGCGCCCGTCTAAGACCAGGGGCCGTGGAAAAAATTAAGAGGGATGCCCGTCGCGGGGCCATTACGCGTTGGCAAGAGGCCATCGCGAACTCCGTGGCGGGCAGATGGACCACCCGCGCCATCCAACCCTGTCTACCCGAATGGGTGGACAGGCGGAGACGAGGATTAGGGTTCCACCTGACACAGGTGCTCACCGGGCACGGCTGCTTCGGTGACTACCTGTGCAGGATTGGACGGGAGCACACAACGCAGTGCCATCACTGTGCGGCCGATCGGGACTCGGCGCAGCATACCCTCACCGAGTGTGAGGCGTGGAGGGAGGAGCGCTGAGCCCTGATCGCAGTGGTTGGCGAGGATCTTTCTCCTCCGGCATTGGTACAGGCGATGCTGGAGGAGGAAGATAAGTGGAAGGCCGTCTCCGCCTTCTGCGACATCGTTATGTTGCGGAAGGAGGAGGCGGAGAGAGTTAGAAGGGGAGAGGTGGAGTTAGAGGGGGGCACACCGCCTCCCTCTCCTCCCCCCTCACAAAGAGGAGGGAACAACGGCGGCGGGGGGGCTCCCCCTCCCGCCTCGCGGCGGAGGAGAATAGTCCCCCATCGCCGGTTACCGGCCCATATGAGGGCCACGTAGAGTCAGGGGGCCTCTCAGGGGTGAACCCCCAGACGGGAAACTTCACCAGTCAACCTGAGAGGTCCCCCCGGGGGGGATAAAGATCCCATATGGGATTCCCCCACATAGTTAGGCTGGGAGGACGAGGACTAATAATTCCTCCCCTCCCAGCGGGGGCCTGTTAGGAACGGGGGCTCCTAACGGTCCCGGGCCACCCACACACACAGAGCGGGCGGGAAGAACTGTGGTAGCCCAGTTCTCCCCAACTAGGATAGGCGAACAAGGA